GCCTTGCTCCATCACTAATCTAAGTACCTGTGTACACACGTGTTCTGTCACCAGGCTGTATTCCCAGGCCTGGCCTGCGCTTTGCTCCATCACTAATCTAAGTGCCTGTGCACACCCGTGTTCTGCCACCAGGCTGTATCCCCAGCCCCGTCCTGCACCTTGCTCCATCACTAATCTAACTATCTGTGTACAGAAGTGTTGGGCCACTGGGCTGTATTCCCAGGCCTGGCCTGCGCCTTGCTCCATCACTAATCTAAGTACCTGTGTACAGATGTGTTTTGCCACCGGGCTGTATCCTCATCCCCGGCCTGCGCCTTGTACCTGTACCTGTGTACAGAAGTAGCAACATTGTTTTGGTTTTTCTTTTGTTGGCCACAGCGAGGGTCAAGTGTTCCTCTTCACCTCCTAACCCAGGGGAACTCTTTTATTTATTTTTTAGAGACAGGGTCTCACTATGTAGTCAGGCTGGCCTCACACTTGCAGGCAGCCTCCTGCCTCTACCTCCTGAGTCTGGGACTACAGGCATGTGTAATCATACCTATGGAACTGCTTTAAAGGAGGGCAGAAGTCCAGAAGCCTGCTGACGTAAAGGACCTTGTGGTGGGTTGGGTGTGGTGAACATCCAAGCCTACGAGCAGGTTCTGGCAGGTAGTAAAGTACTGCTCCAGGCACTACTTGCTTTCTGTGGACTGCTAGCTTGATGTCTATGATACCTGGTTCTGTAGCTTGGTGTCAGCATACTCATCCCCAGGCCGACTTTGCATGCTGCTGATCAGTACCTGGCCATACAACAGGTAGGCTCCAAGGTGAGGCTCTGTTTCTGCCAATGTGCTTCTGGGACAGTTTTAATGTTGAGCTGTACCTGTAGCTTCGCCTCAAGATCTGAGAGGGTAAAACATTGCTCAGTGGTCCCAGACTTGCTCATCTGGAGCTTTTCAGCATGGCCAGAAACCTCTTTATTCAGCTCCTCAATCTAGCTAGTGAACCAGTTTGGTGGCACCCTTCCCATTCTAGTCATGACCTCACATTAGCTTTCTGTACCTTGGTGAGGTCAATGCCAGGAGCCAACTGTACTGCCACAGTGACCTGGCAACCCGCTCAGCCTTCAGGGCACTGGTTTCTATTTGTGGTCCTTCTTCTCCTGCAAAACTCCTCCCACAGGCTTTGAATATCCCTCTCTGGGTTGACCCAGACCAGAGTGGTCATTCCAGCACTTGGGGCAGGCCACTGATGTCAGCTTCCATGTTTAAAAGACAAGGCTTGTTTCAGTCATCTCAAAATTGATTCAAAAATTGTCTGTAGCCAGATCAGTATTGCTGTCAGCACACAGAACAATCCTACAGTTCTCCATAGTGGCACTGGAAATCCTGTCCCCCAGGTCCTCGATGGTCTTATAGTGGCTGTGCTCACTGGAGCGCCCAGGCTTGCTTCTGGCACCAGCCTTGGACCTTTGCCTCCAGCCTACCACTAGTCTACTTCGGGGCCCACGCTAAGCCAGGTAGTTGCTGAGCTTCTGCCTGGTAACATTCTGATAGACCAGTAATAAGTAGCTCAGTGGACCCAGCTAAAGCACCTGCATAGCACTCATCACCATAACCCTACGGGAGGAAGAAGACAAAGGCATGGACACAGACACATCACCACTACTCCAACTCACCAAAGATGCTGGGTTCACAGAAAGGGCTCTCTGGCCCAAAACATAGAGTGACCATATAAGCACCCAAAGAATGAAGTGGACAGCACCTAGCAATAGCCACAAGAAGTCGTGGCAAGATGAATTAAGCAACACTAGTCTAAGCTGGAGCTGCTGATGAAGGAGTCAAAGGAATTAATCCTATCAAGACACCAGTTTTCTCTTAGACTGCTTCAAGGACTCAATGCAATTCCAACCAAAATCCCTGAAGACCTAGAAACCAACAAGCTAACTCTAAATTTCACAGGGAAAATTTTAAGAGTATCTAAAGCAGTTCTGAAGAGCCAAGTCGGAAGGCTAATCACAAGTTGGCTGACTGAGCATTAAATGACAGTGATCAAGACTGTGTTGTGGGGGCCTGGCCCTAGCTCAGTTCTTTAAGTGGCTGTTTCCACAAAGCTGTCAGCCTCTGGTTGCTGTAGTTCAATTCCCCACAACACTCCAGCCAGTCAAACCTGCCCTGAAGGCATTCGGAGCAAAAAAATAAATAAATAAATAAATAAATAAAAATAAATAAAAAAAAAAACTGTGTTGTATTGGCGTTTAAGCCCCTCAGATTCTGGTGTTTTGTTGCAGTAGTTTGAACAGACTAACATAACCACCTTTGTTTTTCGGGCTACATTAATACATTCATTGACAATGTTTTTAATACAAGGCAGATTAACTCAACAACATTTGTATTCCTTTTTTTTTCTTTTTTCCTGGTACCAGGATAGAACTCGGGACCACTGAGCTATCTCGCTGAATGTCAAAACATGGCAGGCCTGCCTGGCAAGTGCAAGGTCCTGAGTTTGATCCGTAGTACCAAAAAAAAAAAAAAAAAAAAAAAAGAATAAGAAGGAACACATAAAATGTTGTAACACTGGCTAACATTAAATGGTAAGGCTAAGCCAGGTTCTTCATGTGTATGACCTTCTTTATTCCTCACAGCAAGTTGACACAAAGGCACAGGCTAGCTGAAAGCAAGCTATATATCGTGGCAGGTCAGAAACCCAGTCAGTTTCTCTCCAGGATGCCTATTCCCCCCACAAACCTTTTAATATAACGGTTAAATGCACTTTTTTTTCAAAAGTTTCTAATGATATATACTTTCAATACTATTAAAAATTTGGGAATAGGATCTAATATTGCTAAAAGAAGACATACGATACTGTAAATAACCTATTATATTGTAAGATGTAAAACTTAACTACGAAAATCTTTTTCTAACTGGGCATGGTGGCACATGCCTACAATCCCAGAATTCATGAGGTTTAGGAGGTTTGAGTTCAAAACCAGTGCTAGCTACATAGCAAGTCTGAGGCCTTCCTGGCCTACACTAATCCGTGAGACAGTACCTCCAAAAAAAGTTTAATTTCTACCTATGAATTTTCCAATGATTGTTACGATTTTTAATTCCACTCCACTGCAGTCAAGAGAAGCAATTCTGTATTGGAATGAAAGTCCTGTTCTGCAGGACGTGACAACCGGAGGACGAACGCACAACTTCACAAAGCGGCGGGGGGCAATCAGGGATCTGGGCTGCGTCCGGGGTCTGGCACGGGGCACGTGGCGGCACCTTCCCGGAAGACCTGGGAGGCACCCCCGCGCGCCCAGCGTGCTCCGGCCTGGGCCTCCCGCCGGGGGCGCCCCTCTCCGCTCCTCCTCAGCGTCCAGCCGCCCGCCCGCCGCCGCCGCGCCCCGCACACCTCTCCGGCGTCCGAGGGTCCATTCGCGCTTCCGCAGCAGGACGTGCGGCTCGCTCTGCCCGGCGCCCAGGCGCAGAAGCCGGCCCCACGGCTGCACAGGCGGCGGCTGCTCGCTTCCCCCGGCCGGCTCCATCGGATTCACATCTACGGGACCCGGAAACGCCGCTGGCGAGGGCGCGCCGCCCCCGGCTAGAAGTCCTCGCGCCGCCCGCCGGCCCGCCGCCCACCGCCCGCCTCACCGCCCGCCTCACCGCCCGCCTCACCGCCTCACCGCCCACCGCCCGCCTCACCGCCTGCCTCTCCGCCCGCCTCACCGCCCGCCGCCCGCGCTCACCCCACGCTCCGCGCTGATCCCGGAACCGGCGGCACCGCCGCCGCCGCCGACGCTGTCAACAGACATCGCAGTCCCTCAGCTGATCCGCGGGCGGAGCCATTACGCGCGCCCTGCGATTGGCTGGCGGCGGCGCCCACCGAGAGCGGAGGCTAGAGCGACGGCGGCGGCCGCCTCGAGCGTGGCCTTTGGGCCCGGCGGAGCCTGCGCAGAAAACGGCTGTGCGCGAACTGGCCATCTTTGACGCGGGCCGGGAAGCCTTCCAGTCTCCTGAATCGCGGAAGCAGTGGCGTTGGACGCCATGTCGCGCAGAGGCGAAAGGGACTGGGTCACTTCTGGGATGGACGTCCAACAAGTTCTTATAGCGTCGCCTAAAGTAAGGTGCCGTTTAGATCGATAAGCAGCGGCACACTTGACCTGTGAGAAAGATGTGAATGGAAAGTACGTTTGTATATGTGGGTTCCAAAAATGGGGCTATCTGAGCGCATTGGGCGAGCTCTTGGGAATGACAGCGTCTTTGGTGCCCGTCGGCATGTAAGCCTGGATCAGTCTTGGAGGGCAGGTTTGCTCTATGTTTCCATTGTAAATGTGCATTTTTTTTTTTTTTTTTTTTTTTTTTTTTTTTTTTAGTAGTGCTACTTCTTGGACTCTTATCATCTTTCCGGTGTGTAGTGTGAAGGATGCTCGAGGATGCGCGCACCGTCCCCTACATCCCCCAGCAAAAAATTACCAAGACAAGAAACTGGACGCAGTAAGGTT